TCAACAAATCTCCTCCTGAATTAAAAACCGGTCTCAGTGACATTTTTGCTCAAAATGATCTTGCTGTTGTGGATGTCAGAATCGGTGTGTCTAGGTAAGTGTGGGAGAGTTAGGACATTGTACTTTAGCACATTACTCCTGGCTCTGCTAATGCTTTTTTCCTCTTTTAGAACCATAGTTCTCAATCCTTGAATATGAATATGTAAAAGTCTACAAAATTTAGTTATTAATGAATTAAGTCATTAGATTATCAAATTGTAACATCCCTAATTTTAATAAGCTATGAGTTTTGCTTTTATTTTTATAAATGAAACTATTAGACTCAAATAGCCATCATAGTGAATGCCTTTAACCAGACAGGATAGTCCTGTTTTGATGCTTGAACACATTCTTTTGTTAGCTACTACTGTCAGTTGTTATGAGCAGTGTAGCTGATAAAGACAACATCAAAAGTGAACTCGGGGCCGGTAGAGTGGCTCGTTGGTTGAGTTGGCTTGGGAGCGTGAGCTCAGCAGTAGGGCCGCCGGTTTGGATGCCACATGGGCCAGTGACACTGCCCTCTACAGCTAAGATGGTGAACAACAGCGCGACCTGGAGCTGGGCTGCTGTGAGGCGCTGGGGTAGGCTGCAGCAGGCTGCCGTAAACTACCGTGAGCAGCCGGCAGCCAGTGTGGCTGATGGCTGATCTGCCTCAGCCGGGAAGAGCACAATGATCACAATAGCAACACGGGCCAGTGCAGCAACGTCCTCCACAACTAGACTGAAGAACAAAAGGACAGCAACTTGTCTGTTCCCCTTCCCCAATTCTCCCTCCCCCAGTTCCCCAATAAAATCTTTTTTTAAAAAAGTGAACTTGGCAGGTCTTGGTACTCAGACCTTGCTCTGTATCCCCTGCTTATAGAGCCTGACTTTATTTTAATAGAGTAGGTGCTTGTTTACGTAATTTGTGTTTGCACATTCTAGTGTTGCTGCTTTGCCTAGAATGTGTTAATGTGGCTTTTGTTGGTTTTTTCAAATCTGTACTTTTGTCCTCTTTGCCTATCACCTTAAAGGAGGTTTGGCTATGTGGATTTTGAATCTGCTGAAGACCTGGAAAAAGCCTTGGAACTCACTGGTTTAAAAGTCTTTGGCAATGAAATTAAAAT